TTAAAGGCTGCATAATCTGCCCTTGTTTCCCTCTTGTTGTGGGAAAACCCATTTTCCTTTTTGCAAATTTGTGCAAATTTGCTCTACGAGACAAGTTCGATTCTCTCTTTATCCGGGGCTGAGGCAAAGATTGATTTTCATGTCCTGTTTTCCGCCAGGATAAGAGTCTCACTGACGTCACAGTCACTGAACACAAACTGCATTACAGCATTTATACACACACACACACTTAGACAATGGCCGTTGTAAATAATAAGGATAGCGTTGACCTTCGGCTGCGTTACGTTTCGGTCAAGGAAATGGCCAGCCTTGCCTCCCCCTCAAAAGGACATTGCGCTAGTTTTCGTTCTCTCTAGATCTCTATATATATTTTTCTATTTTTATATATATATGAAACAAATGCCAGCACATAAATAATTATTTTTTTGCTTACATTTTTAATCACATTGTTTTGTGGCAGTTTTTTTTTTTTTTTTTTTGTTTACATTGATGTCTCTGGGTCACTAAAAAAGGCAACACTTGACAATTTTGCACTGGAAAGTGGGGATTTTATTCATGTTATATGTGTATCTTGTTTTTCTACATTTTTTTAGGCTGATCTCTGTGTGTTTGTGAGAGGGCTAAAAGCTTTCAAGAACACTCACACACAGATTTTGCTCTCGCTTATGTTAATTAAGCCTCCACTTAGCCCCGGCCAAACTATTCGAAAAGAAAAACGCTGAGTGTTGCTCGCTGGCTGCTACTGCTGCTGCTGCTACCCCATTTTCCAGAGCCTTTTAGGCTTTTCAACTGCAGTAGCAGTACCATCGCGCTCTGCCTCCTGGTGACATTGCGCATACGCCACGTGAACGCCTGCAGGCGACACGGCTACCCCTCAGGCCTCAGGCTACAGCTGCTATTTAGCTGGTTTATATATATATATTTTTTTCTTTTTTTGTGGTACCTAATCAGTTTGGCTTAATCAACTTTCGCCTGGGCGACCAGCCTGGCCCTAGATTAGCCGACATTATTAAGGATTAATGCATGCAGCCCCATTGTTGGCTGTTGTTTACGCGACTGCCAACATTTCGGCATTCCGGCATTGTTGTTGCTTCTCCTCCGCCATAATCGTTCGCATCAAGGTCGTTCTCATAATTTCTTCTTTTATTTTTTTTTGTTGTTTGTATTGCCCCCATTGTCAACGCTTTTTTGCTTATTTTTTTCCAACATTTCCCCAGCGTTCCTCATAGATAAAGCGCATAAAAGATCAAAGGCCTTGAATAAAACATCAAATAACGCGCTTGTCAAGCGCCAATCGAGGCATGGTAATGAGAAAAAAACAGTTTGGCATGCCAACCGTCGTCTGCGGAGTGGAAAAGCCGCTCGGAAAAGCCAGGGAGAGGGAGGATGGTCAGCCACTGTCAGCCGTTTGACAAGCGATTAAGCCAACGTGGCCAAAAACCAGGAGTAGCAGCAGTAGTAGCCAGCAACTGGCACATCAATTTGCAGATAAGCTTGCCAAAGTTGGCAATTAGAAGCTGACCAACTAGTTGGGCGTATTAAAATCAATTAGAGAATCGACAAATGGAAAATGCAACTAAACAGGTACGAGAAAGCCACCCACCAGGTAGGAGGTTAGCTGGAAAAGCATTGGAAAAGCATTCAATCTGGTTTTAATGAAGCTGCAATGAGGAGAGAGATCTTTGCAGTGCCCTACACTGGGGAAAACTAGTGAGTCTTTCGGTTTAATAATATATAAGATATTTTTCTTAATCTATAAATATATAAAAAATAATTCAAGTAATCCCTAGGACCTAGGTTTTCCTTTTCAACCAATAATTAAGCTACCGTTAAACTCCTAAGGAAACTTTCCCTCTTAGCAGGAAGCTAATTTTCTCCTACTCCCTCCAAGCTAATAATGACATTTCCCAGTGTATCAGCATATGGCCAATTATTACACACAAAACATTTATTATTAATGAGCGGCTGGCCAGCAGCTATGTGGCTTAAACAGGAGCACACTGGCCCAGACACCATGGCCGCAAGTCGATTAGGCCAATTAGGGTGTGTGTCTGTGTGTGTATTGACAATTGAGGACATTGCAATTAATTAATGAACGAGTAAATGTAAATGTCCAGTGCATGTGCACTTGCTGGCTGGATATATACGGCCAATCTGGGGGCCACTAATTGCGATCTCTCCACTCGCTTTGATGTCCTAATGGCCGCCACCACCACCACCAACGATGATGAAGAGTGGTGGTGACCTCTCTTCTCGTAAAGCAAGAATCGGAAAAGTCACAAGGGGGCGGCGGCAGCCGATTGACACAGTTATTAAAAACGACATGTAGAATTGGCATTCAGGCATGCGGGCAACGACATGGCCATCGACATACTTAGGCGCATAGTTTGACATAAGGCAAGGGGAGCTGGAGTGGATTGGCGGGGGAACTAACTTGGCTGACAGGCGTGCAAAGTGGCCAGCAACAGCAGCAGGGTGCCATAGCCCTTGTCGATGTCGAGATGGCATGCCACTGGCACTCACAACGGAAAAGGAAACATTCCCCGAGATTTTAGCCTCGGAACAACAGGGGGGGTTTAGAGGAAGAAGGCAGTAGCGACAAACGTTAAGGAATTCAATTAGGCAGATGAGTGGATATTTGACTGTATGAGTGTCGTAAGTGTGTGTGTATGTGTTGCCTGATAAAAGTGCTGGCCAAGTCAAAGGCAAAAGCCAAAGCCAAAGCGAGACCCAGAGCCATAGACCGGCTACGACATCTGACACTTCACATGGCCGGATGAGGGCGTCTTATTGGCCTCAAGTTGTGACTAAGCTGATGATGTTGCTGATCCCAGGCCAGAGATGAGTTGCACTGGGGCTTAGAACTAAACTTTTCAATATATAAAACCAACCATCCATTCCATACATCCATACGTATGAGTGTATATCGATGATGCATTGAGTGGGCTGGGTCAAGGGCTCTTTAAGTCAATCAGACCATGAGCACTTGTGGTAGTTTTTCCTCAGACAGAACTAAAAAAGCAAACAAACCTCAAGGAAAGCTAATACTTTTAAGCTTTAAATTGTTTATATTAAATAATAAACTAGGAATTTGAGGGATTTTAAAATTATTTTCTGCATTATAAGGCTAAAAATCGGAAATTTTCTTATAGAAAGTTTCATTTTTAAGGTAAATTATGGTATAACTAGTAAGGTTCCTATATTTTCTATAAGCCGTTTTCTAGAAATAAAACACAAATATATAAAATATATAATTCATCCCTAAATGATCTGCAAGAGGCCCTGAATTCAAAGGGCTCTAAACCACTTTCAATAAAAAAGCAAACTAACTTCAGGAAGCCGAAACTTTTATACCCTTGCAGTTTGTCTTAGGATCATGGCATCTATTCAAAAATCGATCATAACTCAGTCAAAAAAGCTTTAAATTAATTTCGGAAAGCTTTTCTATGTTAAAAATTCAAATTTTTGTTAAATTTTGACAATTTTAATGATGTAACCCCTTACAATATTTTGAAAAAATTAAAAAAAAAATTTTTTTTCTGGGAAGTCTAGAAATACTCGCCTGTTAATGCTGATCAAGAATATATATGATTTATAGGGTCGGAAATGATTGATTCACTAAAGAAAATCATAAAACCCTACAAGAAGACCTGAATTATTTCATTTTTTAAGTGGATATTTTTGGATATTTTGATAAAATATTTTTTTGATTAAACAAAAACCTAACTAAGTTAAAAATACATTTAATTTAATCAATCGAAATTAGGTCAAGAATAAGCTTACATACATAAAAAATGTTTCATTTAAGTGCAAACAAATCCTCTGCCACAAATCAGCCAAGACCACGAGCTTTCTATATATATTCACTCGTGAAATATTATTCATGATCTGGGTTAGTTTCAGCCAAGTCCTTTCTGCAGTCCTGCATTCATTTATCATTCATCTCGGGCTGTGGGTTGCTCCACCTCAAGCTACAGCTCCAGCTTCTCCTGCTCTGATACTTTGTTTGTTCAGCAAATGTTGTGCTGGAGTTTCATCGGGTTTCTGCAAGGATAATGGGTGAGGAGGAGTGGGTGTAGAAGGGGTGCCTCCGTAGATGGCGTCACCGTGTAGCTCGAACGCAGCTCAACTGAACCGTTTTAATTGCTGCATAAATATTAGCTTAAAATTAGCCCATTGTGCGCCGGGATAACGTTCAGTTCAAGCTCAGATTCACTAGCCATTGTGTGCGTTTGCTCCCCGCATATATATATAGTATCTAATATATCTCAGTTTCAGTTTCCGTTTCAGTCTTTAGTCTTTAGTCTCTGTGTGCGTTTCGTGGCGCAGTCAATTACCACATATTTGTCTATAATTAATAAGCTTCCCAGGGGGCCTTCAGATTTGTCTCGCTGCAGCTAAGGCTTTAAGCAAATAGCAATCACTTCTGGCGAGGAGTAGTAGTTGTAGTCGCTGTCTGCAAAGTTCTCGTTTATTCAATAGCAAGTTTTTATTTTATTTTTTCCCTGTATGCAGAGTTTCCACGAAAAGTTTCCATGTTGCCATTGCAGTTGAATAACTCCCCCCCTAGTTCGATTTTTCGTTTATTTATTTATGCCACTTGCTGGGAAAATCCGCTTGCTAGCTCTCGATGCCTCGTCAGGTAATAGCTTTGCGCTGCCCTGTTTATGCTTTCTACGCTTCAAATTAATTTCAGCTAGTACCTAGTCATGTATACAAAAATAAAAAGGGAAAAAACTTATATGCGAAACTGTTGAGTGGGAAATGAATACATTTCCAAAAGAATTCTGAAAATTCATGGCAGAATTGCCATTCAAAATTCACCGATTTGCAGCAGATGGTGTACATTGCACAATTCCTTTGGCATTTACATTTTCTGTAGGTTTTCATATTTGTGAAAATGTATTCAGTTGTTCATTCATGTTCATACACAAGATACGGAATCGAAAGCTTTGATTTTAGCTCTGATTTTAACTTAAATTCAAAGATATTCCCTTTACTTCATGTAATGTTCACTTTTATTCAGTTTGTAAGTATTTAAATATTCAACCAAATATTAGGCACCTTTTAAAAAAAACAATTTCAAAATAAACAAACATTATGTGAGATTACAAATTCATAAAAATTCAAATTAAATTAATGTGCGTATGCTTTAAAAAATGTACGAAAAAACGGAGACGAGTTCTCCACGGGAGAAGCTTTCCCTAGCAATCATTCCTGATATTAATATTCAAAGTTTTAGAAGAAACTTAACATTTAATATAAATTAGTAAATATGGAGTATTAATCGCTATCCGTGAGGGTTACTCCTGGGGATTGAGCTTCCTTGTTGACACTGGGCAACGGCGAGTCCACATCATTTTGTGCCTCGCGGTACTTGCTGAACAGTCCCGGCATCTTGTTCACCGGCGTGTGGAATGACTTTGCGGCGTTTTTAGCTGGAATCGACAGTAAATTCTTACTAATGGCTGATGGAATACTTGCTGGAATACTAGGCTTGGAGCTGGTGCTGGCACTGCCAGAGGTTGCTATCCTCTCAGCCACAGCATTAAGTTTCGGAGTGCCAAATAAACGTTTGGGTTGCATGGATGTGTGACTAGCATTGGAATTATCATCCAATCCTTGCTTGGGCGTGCCCGAGTGCCAGTAGTCCGGCCTGGGCTTCTTCTGGTCGGTTCTGGGCGATGGAAAGAGATCCATATCGTTTGTGGAGAAGCTCTCCATGGCCGCCTTCCATGCATGGACACGCGGCAGCGTTTTCTTATCAATATCCACATTGAATATGGCATTCAGGACATCCAAATCCCTTTTCGTTGGCTCTTTGCCATTGATGAAGAGCTCGTAGGGCTGGATACCCGGCGGCGTGCGGAAATTATCTTCGTCGTCGCTGCTGCTTCCATTTTCGGCATCGAAAAAGAAGTCATCCTCATGGCTGTCCTCATCATCTTTGTCGTTGTTGCTGCGCCAGGCCGTTGTGGAGACAGGTGATGCGACGGATGATACAACCCTGGATGAACCCAATCCTGCATCCGGTGACTGCTGCTGCTGGGCTTGGATAGCGGTGCTAAGACTCTGCTGCAGCTGGGCAAAGTTCCAGGCCACGGTATCCTTTATAGACGTCTCCATTTTTGCCTGCAAATAGGCCTCAAGGCGTTCTAAACCCTCTGCAGAGCAGATGTCCACAAAGGAGTCCAAAAAGTCCCAGTATTCGCGCCATCCCAGCTGCTCCTGGCGAGCCAGCTGGCGTCCAACCACCTCCAAACCCTTTCCGATGTCCGAGTTCTTGATGTGGCGCTCCCGAAAACTATCGTTCTCTGTGCACACCGAAACATTCAGGGTGCGATTGAGACTCATGTCCAGTATCGAGGTATCTTCCGTAATGGACATCGATGCGGTCTCCCGATACAACATGTATAATTCTGGCTTTGCTTGGCGCACCGGTGTAGATGGCAGCTCCAGAGAGTGGACTAGCTTGGGATTATTGTTATTGTTGCTCTCGTAATCATTGGCCAAGTGTAAGGCCGGGCTAAAGAGCATCTTGCGGGACATTTGAATCGAACTCGACTTGCTGGGCGTCACCTTTACCGGCGAGCTGAAGGGCAGGCTGGCCAACGGTGACATGGCGTTGGTGCCCACGCGAGGGGGTGTCTTCCAGCGACGATAAAACTTCATGGCCTTGTCGCGGGACATGGGCCCGGCCAGAGCACTGATCGACAGGTCAACGCTGAGCCCCTCGCACTCGTCTCTCTTGTGCTGAAGATTCGGTGGTTCGTTGGGGGAAAAGGGACGACCCACCTGCGGTGGCAGTTCATGGGTGGCGGAGCGTAGCACAGGCACATAATGCGGGTCGCCCATGAGCAGCTCTAGCTTCTTGATGGTCTCCGGCGGGGCATTGGCATTGCGCTGGCAGATGATGTCCTTGGGCTCTTTGCCGTCTCGATTTGGCAACGACTTGCATTGAGGATAGCCGATGAGCACCTCGACTACCTCTACGTTGCCGCTTTTTACTGCAAAATGCAGCGGTGTCTCGCCGCGTGCCTTGTCCGGCATATTGAGGTAGAAATCCAGCAGATTTGTGTTGAGTGCGGCGCACATTTCGGGGCTTCCCTCCTTCCCAGCGTACAGCTGAGCGAACTCCGGATCCGCCAGGGTTTTTAGCAGCAGCTCTGCGATCTTGGCCTGGTTGGTCTGGGCGCAGACGTGCATGGCATTGTAGCGTGGGCCCTCCTTGAGACTGGTGGGTGTGTCGCCGTTGCTAATCAGGTATCGGGGATTCTCCCAAATGATTTCCTTAACCCGCTCCAACTTGCCTGCCTCAATCTGCTTGCGGAACTCCTGCAGCTCCTGTTTGGTGGGTCCGCGGAAGGGAGCACGCTCGCCGCCACCCGCAGGCAGCTCCTGTGTTTGCTGCTGTTTCTGCTCCTCCTGCTGCTGGCGATCATTGGCTATGGCCTCGATGCTCTCAAATCCAAACTGCACGTAGCTCTCGGCCTGCTCGCGGTTCTGGAATTCGCGAACTCGCGCCTCTTTCTGCGTGCGCAGTACCTCCAGCGCCTTGGACTTCTCGGTGAAGATCAGCCACTCGTACTTGGTGTTGCCCTCATCCGCAGGCACAGCCTGGTCTGACCCAGATGGAAGGGGATCCTCTTTTGCGTCGGATTCCGTCTTCGGAATATAAACCCCGAAGAACGACATCTTTTTTTTAAGAAACAAATGATATTTTTTTAAACCGTTTGAAACTAGGGCTGGGACAACGCTGATAGTTCTGCCTATCGATAGTTGGCATTTTCGATCGTGCTATATCGATAGAGCGAAAATACCATTGTTAGACGGTATCAGAAATATACCAACAATACGGTTACTTTTCAAATTTCGGAAAGAAAATTTTTAATAATAAAAATTATGATAAACTATACAAAAATAGGTTTTTTTTGATAAATTAAGAATTAAATTAAATTATAAGCAAATATTGAAGACCTTTTGTGAGTTATCGATCATTATTAAACTGTTTTACAAACGTGGTTTTCAATATTGTCTTGTTTATAAACATTACTTCAGTGCTTGGCTTCCTTAACTTTATTTTTGAGCTTAAAAAATCTTCAAGCTTGTGTGCACTTTAAGCTGTAAAGCCAAAAATGTGCTACATCTGCTTGAAATTTCACATTGAAACCGGCAGCCTTCATTGCTCGACATTTTTGCATCAATCAAGATGGTCCTTTGGCTTCGTTAGGAACGTTTTGGTGCTGTTTTTTTTGCTCTTGTGTTTTTTTGCGACAATTTGCAAGATCTTCATGCATCAAGGACGGGCTAAACGTATGCAAATCATTATGTTAATCGTGTACCATCAAATTTTCCGGCGTCATTCATCACACTGAGCCACACTTTGCACTTGGTGATGGTGCCAACAGCTGGGCCCCCCAGTCTCCCCTGTACTTTCTCTGTTCTTTCCCAGTTTTAGTTGCTTTTCAGCCCCGTTTTTGCCCATTTTCTCACCCCTTTTTGTTCACAACTTTTGCAGGATAAACCCAGTTGGGAACCCCCTTTTTTTTTGGGCCACTGCTTGCTTGCTTTGCTCTTGCTGCTGCTTAGCGCCCGCGTGGCTAAGTCGAAATTTACACACAGGCCCAGGCCCAGGACGCGTTGAGCGTGGAGTGTGCGCTTGGTTATGCTGAAATTTGCACTTTTCCGAAACTCACACACACACACGGCAGCAGGAGCGGCAAAAGTAAACAAGTTTAGTATAATCAACGTTCCCACGGCAAAAAGTGTTGCACATCCGCTTACATAACACACACACGCACACATCCATGGAGAGCCAGGACATGGAGATGACGTAGTATATGTTTTTATTAGCATGCTTTGTATGCCCTGCATGCTGCTGCTATGCTGTCAGGCTCACGACCATCCTGGGGTGGCCGGGGGCTGCATTTATCAGTTCAGGAGTGGAACGGAGCGGAACGACAGGCACCGGGGGCTTTCGAGGGTCTTTCGAGGGGTTTCGGGGATTCCAGCTGTCTCACGGTGCTCGTAAAACCACATTACCTGTGATTTCCGAACACACACCCACACACACACATACTATGGGATGGCTTGTTCATCAGCGTTGCAGTCGAGCACGAAGCGATTGGATATCTGCCGGAGCTGGGGAGCTCGTTGCTGGTGGCCCTTTGGCGCCTTTGTGCCACGTTCATTGAATGTTTTTCTATTAATTTTTTATTGAATGATGCCGATGCCTTTCTCTGCCCTCCCCCAGCATCCATCGGGCCACGTTTAGAACCATCCAGGGGGTTCCCTGAGGCGGCATGCTAACTTTATTCAATTCCTGCACTGCTCATGCGAAGCACACACACACACACAGAGAGAGAAAGAGAGACTCGCCCCAGTACACGTCCCTATCCAAGTCCCTTCCTTTTTCCCTTACAATCTCACCTCAACTAGTAACTTATTCCTCCTTTTAGCCGGACAAGAGAAGAGGAGCCGTGTAAAGTGGCTGAAAAATTGCTAGTGCTTGCAACGCATTCCACATGAAGGGAAGAATAACCAAAGGGAATCGCCTGGCTCGCTTGATACCCTTAAAAAGGGGAAGAACATAAAGGAAATCAAGTAGAAATTCAAGTTGAAATTCAAGTATCAAGTAAATTCAATGGTAGAAAAGAAAAATTATAATCGAAATTGTGGATATTTGTAAAAACATCATCATATCTTAATGTTATAAACATATTATGTTATTAAATTTAAAAGGTATAAATTCTCTTTATAAAAAAACAACACAAAATAAAAACCTGTAAATAAAGAAGTAACCAAAGTTGTAAACAACCTGTGTGTTCGTGTTCATTTTTTGTTCGACTTTATCTAAGTTAATCTAATAGCTCTTGATAACCCCGCTCATACCACCTAATTCCCTGGGATGCGGCAACAAATGAGGGACATGATGTGAAACATTTTGTTCCTAGTTCCTTAAACTGAACCAAAAGGAGGACGAAGGGGGAAAACGAAGGACTCTGGTGGCTGGCAAGAGCTGGTTAAGCCTCGAACGCCACTCCATTTGGAAGATGTTTTTTACGGCTCGCCACAAGCACATAAAAAACCACCAAAATGGGTGACACACAAAGGAGCAGCCACACACACACATTCACACCAAGGCAATGAAATAAACAAAGCCGCAGAAAGACTTGCCAGGATTCGCTGGAGTGAGAGCGAGAGAAAGACAGAGATAGGGCCAAGTGAAGGAGAAAGGATATGCGAAAAGGCAGGCAAATTTGGTTGGGAGACCAAAAGCCGGACCGCTGTCAAAATTATCAAGCAGCAGGTGTGCAAGCCACCCCCTCAGCCTCTTTCTCCACCTCCTCCCTTCTCTTTCTTTCCCTCATTTGCTGTCTCTTTCCCCCTGGAACAGCCACGGGCATTATTGCTTTTGTGGCTTTTTTTTTGTTGGTAAATATTTTGCATAAAATATCAATTTCATACGAAAACGTGCGAGCATATGAATATGTGCGATTGCAGTGACGACTTCAAACTAATGAAATTTAAATGAAAATTGAAATTTACCAAAAGCTACCAAAGCTGCAAGTGTGTAAACTTAATAAATTGTTGAATACATTACATAATGCCCGGTGGCATTTAGTCTGCTCTAAATAATGTTGCATAACTTTCAGGGCCTGCAGCAAACACAACTTTATTTTTTATAAATCCAAAGAACTGTCAGTTTGGGAGAGACTTTCTTTGATAAAAAGCAAAAAATGCAAATGATGGTTATTAAAATTCCCAGAGAAGGTCACCCACCTTCAGCTTCAGATTAATTGCCAGCATTTAAGGTGACATTAAGCTAGGGGGAAACCCTTGAAAAAATAAAGGGACAACGATACCCGCAAAGTTAATCGAAAAAAAAATGGAAGAGGAGAGAAAACGGAAACGGAAACGAACGTATTGTAATGGCCGATGCCCTGGCAAATGGCAATTTCACTCGATTTGGCCTAGGAATCAGCGATAAAATTCGAAAGCAGATTTACTTGTTGATTTCCACGGTAATTGAATTACCCGCGAATAAAGTGCGGACGAAATGGGTTTCGACATTTTCGGCTGCCCTTCGGCTGCCCCTTTTTTTTTATTTTATTTTGCTGTTTTTGGGGCAAACAAATTGGCAAGAGCAAGGGGTGGAGTGGAGGGGTTAGTCAACGAAATTAATTCCATTTTGGGTTGTGTTTACTGGGTATTTTTTGGCCAACTTTGTGATGACAGCCTTTGGCACCGGCGGGGGGAGGTCTGAGTACACAAAAATTTAATTGCAATCTAATAGACTTTTTATTTTGGGGCTTTTTTGGCCTAATGTATTTTCCAACCGTTGTCAATGTTAGACAAAATATATATATTTAGAATTGATGGGGGTAAAATGAATTAATTATGATAAAAATTATAAGGGTTGAGTGAATAATTTGAAAGGAAATATAAGATTATCAATACTTTGTGGGTAAGAATTTAATTTTTAAACTTAAAAACTATTAATATATGATTTTGTTTTGTCTTGGCAAAAATATTACAATAATTTCCTTGGGTTTTAAGGTTAAGAAATCAATAAATTTAAATCTTAAAATTGTCCTGAAGCTCAGTTAGTCTTTATTATTATTAAAAAACCTGGCTATAAATCACTCTGTAGCCCCAAGGCCTAGCCACTTGTCTACTCAAAGGATGTCAGGCATTTTAACATTTGTAATTGAAAAGAAATACAATTTAGAATGTAAACAAACCAAATGTTAGCCCTGGAAAACTCCACCCTTTCTCTATGAAAATTCCACCCTTTCTCTCAGATTTCCCTTGTTTGTGGTATTTATTTGTTAATACGATATTTACGCCCTCGAAATCCGGCAACTATTATGCCGTGAAATGGGAATTTTTCCAATCAAAACAGCATGGCAGCCGGGCAGCCGGGCAGCCGGTGCTGCGTTTAGTGGTAACCATATCACGTAGCCTGTTAACGGAAGGAATAAATATTTCAGGCACAATTTCAGAGGGGGCGGCAACTGCCAAACCACTTAGCGTGGCCCACACTCATCCTCTCCTGGTTTCACCCATATATAAGTTGCAGTGGAAATCGTAGCTCTGCGTCCAGATACGCTCGAATGTCCGCTATTTTGCTGTACAGCGGAGAGCTCTGGAAATTGTGGGCTTCGATCCAAGTACACCGCAGCTAAAGCTCAAGCATCCCATTTGGGCAGGGATCTTGGTTTTGTCCTTGGTCTCCCACAATTGGCCCATGGCTGTGTATGCCCTGCAGGATCTCTCGGACTTGACCCGGTTAACGGATAATTTTGCTGTGGTTATGCAGGGTTCATTGAGCACCTTCAAGTTTCTGGCTATTGTGATGAAGCGTCGCAGGATTGGAACCTTGATCCATCGTTTGCACCAGCTCAACGAGGAGGGGATTAGGAGTAGCTTTAAAGGTAAAGAGCTCATTCTGGAGGAGAACCAACTGGACAAGTATGTGTCCAAGGCCTTTAGGAATGCCGCCTATGGAGTGATTGTAGCCTCGGCCATAGCTCCCATGCTGCTTGGTCTGCTGGGTTACCTGCGAGTGGGTATCTTTTCACCAACCACGCCCATGGAGTTCAATTTCTGGCTGGACGAGTCCAGAGCCATCTATTACTGGCCCATCTATGTTTGGGGTGTTCTAGGTGTGGCAGCCGCCGCCTGGCTGGCCATAGCCACGGACACACTCTTCTCCTGGCTGGCACACAATGTGGTGGCCCAGTTCCGGCTGCTGGAGTTGCTTTTGGAGCAAAAGGATGACCCAGAGGAGGTGTATCTTGTAAAGTTTATACATCGTCATCGCTTGGCCCTTGAACTGGCCGAGGAACTCAGCTCTATTTTCGCCGAGATTGTCTTTGTGAAATATATGCTGAGTTATTTGCAACTCTGCATGCTGGCCTTTCGCTTCAGCAGGAGTGGCTGGAGCTCCCAGGTGCCCTTCAGAGCCGCCTTCCTGGTGGCCATCGTCATCCAACTCAGCTCGTATTGCTATGGCGGGGAGTATCTGAAGCAGCAGAGTCTGGGCATATCGGAGGCAGTGTACGCCCACAGTGACTGGCCAGAAATGGAGCCGAAGAGACGACGTCTTTGGCAAATGATTATCATGAGAGCTCAGCGACCGGCGAAGATTTTTGGCTATATGTTCTATGTGGATTTGCCATTGCTATTATGGGTGGGTTTTCCTGCAAATTTTCTATGATTATTATAATTTATTTGCTGCATTTTCTTTGACAGGTCACCAGAACAGCGGGTTCCTTTTTGGCTTTGCTAAGGACTTTTGCTTCTTAGACTTAGTAAAATGTTAAAGAAACTAACTCTAAACCTTCGAGTTGGTATATTAAAAGATATTTATAAAATTACTAACTTGAATTCATAAATAACAAAAAGAAAACCTAAGCTTCTAAAGACTTTTACAAAGTAAAATCCATTTAAAAACCCTAAAATCAAATTCTAAAGCTCAATCATAGATTATTTAAAATGTTAAAGAATTAGTAACTTAAACTTGTAACTTAAAAATGTAATAATTAAATTGTTCAACTGCGCAATTTGATTATAATATCTAAACCTAAAAACTTTCCCTCACCTCGCAGCATAATTTTTGAACAATTTACAACTGTGCAGAGTATATGACCCTAATTAGTGGGGATTTGAAAGTATGCTTCAGACTGGATTTATATGTTTTTGACAGAAGCCCAGACCCACCTCAGCCCCCGAGCAGCAACCCCACTGGATGCAGTGTAAGAGCAGCTCCAGTAACATGCCAATGCAGCCGGCAGTTGCTGGAGCATATAAAATTCATGAGCGAATTCCACAGAAGCAGAGAAGCTGTGTGGCCAGGTGGGTTGTGTATGACAAGGATATTTGCTGGATATATACATTGTGTATCCTTAGCAGGAGTTGGAATTTGTTAACTGAAAAGTATGCAACACGGCATGGCTCATCGTTCAGGTGGAGGCGAAACAAGTTGCTGGAAAAATAGCTACTCGAACTATGCGCCAGCCATTCCAGTTAGCCCCGGGGCGGGGCTCGGGCTCTCTCTCTTTTGGCAAGTCTTGGGAAACTTGGGCTAGTTTCGGGGCTTAGAGAATCGGCTGGAATGCGGTCTTGAGCCGGAGACTCCTACGCCTCCGCCTCCATTTCCTCCTCATCCCATTCAATGGCACCAAAGGAATGTTTTGCCTGTTGCGGAATTTTTGGGCTTGCTGCTTGCTCAGTTGAGATTTGAATTCAGTTGGAAATTTGGAATTCGTTATATTAAATTTCACAACTCAGCGGTGAGGTATACCCCCTTTTTTTTCATGTCCTGTGACACACCTTGGATTAGGTAACAAATTGTGCCAAAGCCTTGGCTGGGGCATAATTAATTTTTGTCTCTGACATTTGATTTATTGGCCCTGTGCTGCTGACCAACACAAATTTGCAAGCCAAATCCCGGCAAAAGGTAAAACAAACGAGCGGCGATTAATAAACGGAAATCGCCTTTGGGCCAACCAAGAGGAATACGAGCCATTAGCCACCTGCGGCATAAACAGCAAAATCGAGCATTAACCTGATATATACTATGCATATACATATATATATATATATATGTACAGCAAATTGTGGCCGAGATAAGAGACCTGGCCAAGTTGAAAATAGTGAACAACAGTGAGGGGCGTTTTATGTGTATTAAAAAAGCGAGCTGAGCTCAGGATTCTGTTTGCGGTTCGTTGAGCACACAATAATTCCATCAGCAGCAGCAGCAGCAGGGAAAGTGGGTGTGGCAGATGAAAAGTGTGGAGATAAAAGACCCGCCGGCACTTTCGCTGCAACCCCGCAATTCCTGCGGTTAGTTTTAGTTGAGTTTTCATGGTACCACGGGGCGTATGGTTAATAATCAAATAACAAAAAACCGAATATAGAGTGTGTATGTAGTTGGCAAACATTTATACAATTCACATGTAATTGCCATTCAAAAATTCACCAAAAAGCAACCAAAAAATCAATTGTCAATACGAATTATCATGGCATCCGCGAGGGGAAACCCCCGGAAAGGTGTCCCTCTTTTGCTAGCTATAAATTTCTGCATATTAATTTACCTAATACATTTTATATAGGTATATATTTCTTATATATTTTCTAGATATATATTTTGGTTAAGCATACAAAGGCCTGCCTGCCTGGGCCGAAAGTTTTCTAATTAAAATTATGCGGCTTGTTGAAAGGTTGAACGGAAAAACGGGAGGAAATCGGGTAGGGAAAATGGAAAACATGAGGAAGCCAGAAACGAGTTTTAATAGAAATTACATTAATTAATTTTTAAAATATGCTTAAATACACATTTCTATGCATTAATTAGAGAACACACACACTCACTCACTGACAAAGTAAACAATGAAAAGTGACTGGAACTAACAAACAGCGTTAAATAAAACAACCTAAACGAGGGGGATTTAGGCTAATTAAAATACTCCCCCTTAATTTGTTGTTTATTTGGTTAAATCCAATTTTAATTGCCGACTAAAGTGGAGTAAAACACTTCAGTTACAACGATTACAATGTTTTATTGACTGCTTTTTTCCCCACATAATTGCCAGCGATTTGGACAACATCCAAATCGACTTGTTTTCTTTGCCCTCTCAAGAACGTTAGTTGGGGGGAAAACTGGGGGAAATCTCTCCCTCAAATTGTTATCCCCAATCTCCATTTGCAAATCTCCGTCTCTATTTTCGTCTAGTTTCTAGTTTGCCAACTTTGATTTACGCCTTTGGCCCTGCCCTGTCCTGTCCTAACCCATTTTTATGCGACTTTGTGACCCATTTGAACGATTCGGCTTGCAGCTGCTGGGGAAGTCCCCGGACTCGATGCCACATGCATGACAAGCACTTATGCAAATTATATGGCGCACTTATGCGCGGCCAGAGGATAACACACACATTATTTGGACCGATATTCCGAAAAAGCGAACAAAAAGTTTTGCAACAAGCAACAACTTTGGCTTCGAGCTGAATGGAAATTAAACCAAAACAGAGGATAATGGGGGAAGGATATATGTATCCTGTTTGGGTTTAATGAGTCCAACGGAAAATGTTGAAATAAATTTCTAACAGACTTTAATTAGTGGAAAGTAGAGTTAAAAACTCGAGAGGTTGCAGCTAAATTATTGACAGCATTGAAGAGTTAATTATTTTTCATTAGTTTTTGGAAAATTAAAAGTGAACAGGGAGAGCTTAATGAGACACTTGAAATGGTTATTAATTTAAAGATAAAAATGTGGAAAACTTGAAGTAAAGGAATATAAATATTAATAAATATAATAAATAATTTTAAATAAATAAAATCACAAGAGGTTAATAGTTTAAATAATTAGAATTTGAAAAGCAACTAATAAAAGAATATATACAAATTACTAAAGAGATTATGTATGTTATTTAGCAAATAAAAAAGAAAAACTCCTTTCTACAAATATTTATTTCAATTATTATAACAAAAACCTATAAATTTCTCTTTCATTTTTCACTTAACAATTACGAAAACCATTTAAACCATTGAAAAATTAATAAACCCTTTCACTTAGTGACAAATTATTGACATTTGAGGGCTTAAAATTGTTCAGTGAATATTATTTTAATCAGTTTATCATGACAAATTTTCAGCAAGAGCTAAAATATCAATATAATTGCATTTTTGCTTATTGAAGCAGAAGAAATATTAAAAGCATTTTGACAATTTCCGTACAAAAAATAGGATAAGTAATAATAATAATATTAAGCTTAAACACACATTTTGAGGTTTATAAAAGTTCAGAAAATGCAATCAATCAGCATATTTAAAAATAAACAAAAGAATTTTAAGAAAAATATGTGATGATAATTATTTTCGTTGGCATTTTCAGGTAATTAAAAATCCCCAAAATGATAGCGGTCATTAAATAGTCATATAATTATCATAATTATGTGTGCCAGCTCAAATAGTATTTAAAAATTATTGATGCTGCCACAGAGAGAGAGAGAGGAGAGTTCACTCGAAATTGCAATTACTTTATGCATAATTAAATTACAATTCATTAGACATGAGTGTAAAGGGTACCGGAGGCTTCTAAAATTACAGAAAATTAAATATTACCCAGGGAGAGTAAATCAATAAGCTTAAAATATATATTAGTTTCCGAATATTTCCTGTGGCTTAATTACTGTAATAGAGGGGAATTTCTATATACTCAGGGTCTTGGCTTGACTCGACTCAATTTGGTTTTATAAAAGATAAGGGATGCACAGATATGTAAGTACTATATAGAAAAAATTTAGGTTTGAATGCTGATGATATGGAAATAACAAGTGCCATTGTGTGTCAAAGAATGTGAAATTGTTTAGAAGTAGCGACTCACGGACAAGAAAAGCAAACAGAAAATGTAATATATATAGCCAAAGATATATATATATATGTATTGTATTTGAAAAATGACTTTTCTTCAAAGAACAATTTCCTTTGACTGAGGAATGCGAATGAGTCTGCCACTTTTCTTGTTGCAATGTCGCATGAGTTTGTGATTTCTTTGAAAGTGAGTGTGTTTTTTAATGTGAATTCAATTATTTGTGTGTGCAAAATTCTTATTTCTTGTTCTCTTTTTTGTGTACATTACAATTTTGGGTTCCACTCCGGGCTTGGGATTGGCCTTTGTTGGCTTCATGGTGGCTGTGGCTCCTTCTTTGCTTTCCAATCGAACGGAATATATTTACTTGTAATTTTTGCGGTAGGATATTATTATTGTTTTGCTCGCTCTCCTTTGCTGTTTGCTTACTGTTTTAATTATCTTGCCTCATTTGGCTTTGCCGTCGATTTTTAATTAAATTCTTTTTGACCATAGTTTATTTATTTATGCATTTTTTTTGGCGATTTAACGCGCTCTCTCTCTCTCTCCCTCCTCGTTTTGTGGGTTGTGTTTGGCTTTTTTCCTCTCGAAACCTTTTTTTATATTCATTTGTTTTTACAAAAAATGTTGGCTGCTGTTTCTTTATTTGTTATTGAATTTTTCAATTGGATTGATATTCGATTTATTTGGTTTTTTTATATTTGTTATTTACTAATAAAATGCATGTAAGTCAGTCCGTCGTTTCACAATTTTTGTTTGTTGTTATGCTTGTTGTTTGTCTTGTATATTGGTTTCTTTTTTTTGTTTTTGGTTTTGCTGTGGTGTTTTTTTCTTCTTTCTTTTCTTTTTGGTTAGCTGCAAGGAATTTTCAAAAAAATTCAAAATTTTTAGTTTCGAAAATTCTGGCAATTATCGAGGCTTAAAAAGTGTAGAAGGCAGCAGCTTGGCTAAATGCAACTGCCACATGTTGAAGACACGCAGCCAGCCGCACCCACCAGGCTGCCACGCCTATATTTCCTGGCCACGACAATTGCGCTAACCATTTAGACTTGGCCAAAACACAGACACACGTTCCACGCTTGGCACCACACTTGGCTGGAGCTACGTGGCGGCGGACTTTAAAACTCGTTGCTATTCCAGTTAAAACTCTCTTTCTTTCGATTGCTAATCGCTCGCTTAAATATTTTCTGTATTTTCGAAATATTTTTGAGTTTAGTTCGCTTTGAGACCGATTTCGAAACGTTCCAAGTCCAAGGCGTGCACAGCGCTCGGCGCTCAGAGGAAAAGACAACTTGATCACAGCATGGAAAATGTTCAACTGACCGAGTGGCTAGCCTGTAGACCAGCAGTGAAGCTGCGGCTTTATCAGTTCGTGGCTCCGCCTTCGGCTCGGCACGCAGGACTCGCATTCGTTGCGGTTCGGCTTCGGTTTCGGCTTCGGCCCTCCGATAGCCTCGTGCCACCTCGATGCTCCTCGGGAAGCAACATGTTGAAGGAAAATCTCAAAAAGCCCGAGTGCAACTCGTCGCATTCCACTCGAGGGAGCCCAGCGTGTGTCGTCACGTGTTGCTCTCCCTGCTGCTGCTGGTGGGCAGGATTCGAGTGAAAGCTGTGTGTGTGCCTACGCCCAGACTCGGGCCGGGATAAGTGCCACTGGGTGACTCCGAAGGAAGCTTCCATCCTGCCGCTGCCGTTGCCGCTGATGATGCGCGTCCTCGTTCCCGAACATTGGATATCCTTCGCAGCGGAAATTATGTATGACGAGATATGTATTACTTTGCCATCGAACAAAGGGAATGCGCTTCGCTCGCTATTCTCCTGCCGCCTTTCAGCTTAGCCGTGAGTTTTCATCAGCATTTGGTAATTGAGGACGCGGGGCTTGTTTTTAGTTTCTTATTTTACAGAGCAAGAAAAAGTTATCAAATATATAAGGGGGAGCTAAGCAGGGGATCATATCATATGATTCATAAGGATGTTAGGCGTTTCTTTTCTCTATTTTTATACCTTTTCTTTAATGAAATCAACAAACTTTAAATAAAAATCCATGTACAAAAAGGTATAACATTTTATTTTTAAGAAATTTCATTTAGATTTTTGCGAAATAGAACGGGAACTATTAAAAACTTCCTTAAAATATTTTATTTTAGATAAAAATTGAGAGAAAGCTTCTTAGAATCTTCTTTGAAGTCTTAATATTTGGAATAAAGAACAGGAAAACATTTAAAAATATATTTTTCAAACATTTCTAAATTTTCTTAGAAGCCTTTGAACTTTAATATATATTTTATTTTCATTTTTAACTACTCAGCTTATTGTTAAATAATTTTTCAGCGTGTTTTTAACCGTTTCCCCATCCTAAACCCCACCCCAGCCTCCCTTCTTTGACTGATAGCGATAGCATAACTTTTTCGGTTACTCTCAAAGGTGCATTCACACATGGCTGCATCGAAGTTGCCAAAGTAGAGACTGGCTTAGAAGGTGTTTGTGCTCAAAAAAAAGAATAAAACTAGAGAAATGCAGACGTAGAAGACAGACAAAGGGTTACGGGGACTTTGACTGCCGTCTCCCAGTCGACGTAATGCAATTATACATTGCCTGGCGGCACAGCTCAGCGCAGCGCAGCTCCTTTTGCCATGAGTAATAAGCATTTGCATTTTCACAAAATGTAGAACACAAGGCGCTGAAGAAGTTGCTGCCGCTTTGTGGAGAACCCCTTCTATAGCGAACGGACCTAGGGCCATAAACTCATGCTCATAATTTGTGCACTTTATTAATAAAGTTTGCCAACTTGGCTTGGCCCAGACAGAGTGGAAATACACAAAAGCCGGTAAAGGGGCAACTAAAAAAAAAAGTACAACTAAATAATACAAAAAGTTATAACAATTTTTCAACAATAAAGCTGGTCAAAAGTTGTATAAAACAAAGCTGCATTAGGTGAAGCATTATGATCTAAAAACTGTGATTGATGTAAAAGATTCCCCTCTTTGAAAAAAGAGACTTCAAATTAAAGAAACAAAATCTACTGTCTGCTTTTGCTGTGAAAAGTGTTTATTTAATAAAACTGGAAAAGTAGGAAAATCAGGAGATGTGACCCCCTGAAATCCTAGTTGTTGCTTTGCCCGCTTTGACCTTGTCCACTCTGCTGGTTGCCATTTCCATTGCCATTTGGCGACTTCGGCGGCTGGCCATGTGGTTGTCCATTCTGGCCCTGGGCAGCAACCTGCTGGGGCATCTGGGCCTGGACAAAAAAGCATTAGTATTTCCTGATTGGGAAGAAGCTCCTGCACAGTAAAAATCTTACCAATCCCACCACCAGAATCAAGAGGAAAATGCTGAACAATGCAAACTGCTTCATGTTGAAGTTGTAACTGAAATATTGTCACTAAACTCCGAGCTTATATAGCTCCTGGCTAAGCTATATCTGAGGTAATTATCTCAAAAAACCTGACAAAACAATTTGTAAAATCATTTTGTTTACATTTCTAATCTGATTTATAATTTCTCAATTGCATGTTTATAACTATGGGAAGGTTAAGTGTGTATTAATTTAATGGTTTAATAATTTGCTAGATTTAGTGTTAAGATTTGTTGTGGGAATTCAAAAATATCACGTGGTTTGCTAATTAAATATTTGATAGAAGCTTTAAATATAAGTATTTTCAGGCTTAATTTTTATAATTTTGTATAGTAAATTGACTTTAATCTCTTGTATAATTTATTATAAAATCCCACATGATTGATTTCCCTCTAAACTCTGTATAGTTTTCTTTGTTCTAATCCCATATTCTCCCCCAGCTTACACTCTCTAAATACTTCACAACCTTAAGGTTCTTCTCTAGGAAAGCAATTAATTCCCAGGCATTATTACATTTTGATCGTGTTTGTCTAGGCTGAGTAAACTTATCCATTATTCAAGCTCGATTTTGTGAGATTTTCTATTTTGAGGCTCGTAGCCTCTGCCTGACATTACCTACGTTTCATAAAGGTAACCCGAGTAGCACCCACTTGCCTTTTGCCTCCGCTCCCCACCTCTCTCTCTCACCTGTGTGCTATGCAAATCACCTTGGGGCCACGGTCTCGGGCAAAGCAATTTCGCTCAACATTTCTTGGCGAGTTGACTGGCAAAATGTCTTCGGTTTCAGTTTGAGATTAAATTTTGCCCAACCGTTGGCCAAACAGCAACAAGACTTGCTAGTTCAACAAAAGGCGAAAAAGGTGGAAAAGTCCACCCCCTGTAACCACCTGCCATGTGTGGTCACAGGAGAGAGTCTGTGTTCGTGGAAAAACTGATGCTTGTTTTTTTCCGCTGTTTTTATAGATTTTTATATGGGTTTTATATGAGTAAATGTTTAAGGTAGGTTATAAAGGAGTTATGGATAAGTTATGGCAATATTAAATATAGTTTAAGCTATAAAAGGTTATAAAAATATTATTTAAAAAATTAGAAGAGATCGCACGCTTTAAAAAATAATAAAAATCAATAAAAAGAAGACATTGACTATTAAAACTCCTAACAAATATTCTCTAATTTCATTAAAAGCTTTTCACATTTTCTCCTAACTAAAAAACCCTCAAATAAACCCCAAAACTATCCCCTTTTTTCTACCTGTGCACCTGTCAATTGTGTGTTCTTCGCTCGATAACAAATGCTCTTGTGTTGGCAAAAATATGAATATTGAATATGACTATGGCCGCAGAATGAACCGCAGAATAAACCGTGGCAAGAGCTATAATACTATATATCCATAGCCTGAATTTCCAGCAAGAAAAGTATATCAACGGTAGCAGTATTCGTAGAGAAAGGAACCAGAACCAAGACGACACCAGCATACATTCTGGATGAGCACTAATGAAGTCTCAGCTCTCCTTGTCCTTTACAGGCTGCCGACTGGCTGGCTGGCTCATTGTTTGACTTTGACTTTGCCACTACTACCTTTCACTTGCCAGTTTAGAGATTCTTCAGCCACTCCCCTTTTCCCCATTTTCTTGCTGTTTTTCCGCCTTCCTTAGCAGTGGCAACGCCCACTTTTCTTCACGAATGTTTGCTCAGTCTCAGAGCTTTGTCCCTTGCCAGCCAGCCTATTTATTTATGTTTATAATAGGATTTTTATCAAACTTTTCCCCGAATTAATTTTGTAATGAGTATTTAAAAGACACTCGCATTTGGACAAGCAGCCAAGCATCAGAGCAGCAGCGACAGGACACACACAAAAGAGCGACCCGCAGCGAGCAGCTTTTGGTGTTTGTCTTTTGACACGCCCGATGCCCACTCAACTTTCCACAGATGGGACAGGACGATGACGAGGATGAAGAGGAGAAGCAGGTCCAAGAGCAGGCACCAGGATATGGCAGTCAACATTTATGACGGATATACTTTAGGTTGGGGTACGTTAAGTTGTCTGCCCTTCTCGAGACAATTATATATATATTTTTAGGGCTGATCCTTGTTTATCCTTTTAATTGAAATTGATGTTTTTGAAGGCATTTGAGTTGGATAAATATAATTTATGATTATACTTTTAAAAGTTTAAATCAGGATGTTTAGAGAGTAAATAAAGGTTTGCTTTTATTTATTAAATATTAAAAACTAGATAAAATTTAACAAAAATGTGTATGCCTTTGAATTTTGCCAAAGGATCATGGCATCGCATCAAAAATCGTTCATAAAAAAGCCAAAAATGCATTAATTTCATTTCGGAAAGCTGTTCTGTGCTATTTTTTTCTAGGTTAACAAATCTGCTTACTAAAATTTTAATTTTAAGAAATCAAAATTTTTTTCGATTTTTGAGAATTTTAATGATGAAAAAAATTAGTTTTCTTCCGGACATGACCAGAAAGATTGGTCTGTCTATGCTGATCAAGAATATATATGGTTTATAGGGTCGGAAATGGATTCTTCACTGTTTTGGAAGCTTCTGACTAAAATTATAATACACTGGAAGGGTATAATATATATACAATAATATATAAGTATTATATATATTATATTTATTTATATACTAAATTTACTTGTATATTATATTAATTATATATTATATTTATTTATATATTATATTTTATTGTCTAATATATTTATTTATATTTTTATTTTTATTTATTATTCTGCCAAGTAAATGTTCTTCTATCCAAGTAACTTCCAAGTTTGGTTGCTTTTTTTTAATGAATATAAATTCCCATCTAAATTATAGCGTATTCCACTAGTCGTCTATCTCTCTGGGGCATAATTTTCCCTCATATTTTTTTCCATCCCGGCACTCTTATTCGCACCAGCAACTTTTTTGTTTTGACTAATTTGCAGCAATGTTCAGTCATTAAAATAGTGCCGGTGCGGAAACTACATAGAGAGAGGGTCTTGGTTGGTGGGAGTCCCTGGTCCTGGCCCTGGTCGTGGTCCTGGTCTAACTTCTCCACTCGGGGCTTGTTGCGAAAACCAAAACTAGATAATTGCCAAATATTTGCGTAAGTTCTTCGTGGTGCACTCTTCTCATTACGGATTCTGGGGGAAGAGGATGAGCCATGCTCATATTTGGTGTAGGCTTTGTGCTGGCCACTTTCGGCTAGTGGTTATTACAGGGTATTAAGCGTTTGCCCCACCATCACCTCAAATGGCTGCGGCTGCGGCTGAGACTGAGGCTGCGGCTTAGGCTTTTGGTTCATTTCACTAGCTGTGGCTTTGACTCGGTCTCTGTCTGAATTTTGAATAAATCCCTGGTGGGGCAAGTTGTATGGCTGCCGCCTTTGTGCTCCTCCTCCCTTCTAAATGATGATAAAAGCCCGCCTAATTTTGTCCAAATTTGCTGTTTAAACATGGCCAATTTAATTTCTGGCCAGAGAGCCTGTCTCGCTACGAGTATTTTTGCCATTTCGCATTTCACTTTTCACTTTTCGCCTGGCTAGCGGCAATTAAGTCAAGCCCATTCCCCAAGTCAAGAGGGTTTTTTCGGGGGGTTTTTTTTCGGGTCTATTAAAAAGCGCATTGCTCTAAATGCTGTTAGATTACTCTCCTCCAGTGCAGCCGCTGGAGCTTGCCTTGATTAAATCAACTATGCAGCGGAGCGGGGAAAACTGTTGGGAAAACCTAACCCACAACCCACAACCCATTGGGCGGGCAATCATTAAGGAAATCGCTTTGAAATGATGTGATGACTGCCAACAGAGCCGACAGAGTTGACTGAAACAAACACACGCCAAGTGGAAATGGAAGGAAAATTCCGGGGCAAAGGGCAAAATGGGAAACTTTTCAGAGCATCATTAATCATGAAAAGTTTGGGGGCAGCCTTAATCCCTGGCCATGGCGACGGCGGCATAAGCCTTTTTTATGTGGAGCTGTCGATATTTGCTTGTGGTTTCTCCTTCAATTTGGGGGGGAAAATGAAAACGACAAAGTTCTATCTGCTCATCCTAGTCGCTGGCGAAATTATGGTTATCATATTTGTTTGGAATGCTTTGCATTTTTCGCTCCTTGTGGTAACCTACACACACATTTCCCGGCGCACACACAGAGATGACATTTCCTTTGTCTCATGCTCTCGTCCAAGTTTCATGCGTTCCTCTTTTGTATATTTCTTTTTGTTTTTTATTTTTTATGCTTTATTTTTATGTATTCTCTGCTGCTGTTGTTGTTGCTGCTGTGTGTTGGAAAATACTGTAAATATTTTTAATTCTTTGCCAGCGCCAGAGGGGCAGCGGCATTTTCAGCTTTTAAGCTAAAGCTATGAAAATAATTTGGTCCCAGAAATACTTGCGGCCGAGAGAATAAAGAGGGGGGGAGACGGAGGACAGAGGAGGAGGAACGAGGCTGTCCATGGGACCAGGTCCTGGAACCTAGCCCCAGCCTGAGCCTGGGCAATTGGAATGCCTTTTGTGGCTCGCTGTAACGTCGTCGTGTTGATTAAGCCAGCTCCAAAAAGGCCAAAGCCAACGCCAAAGCGAAAAGAAAACGCTCTCGCGTTCTGGCCAGAAAATGGGGAGAGGTGGGGGGTCGCATTGTTGCCGCCGACGAACTCCCCGGTGAAATGGTGACATGGTGGCTGCCACAAAGTGCCGCTGCAAGTGGATAATAACTGACGGCAACTATGCGCATTTGTTTCGTGCGGCAAAGTAATGAAACAACAGCCACGCGAAGACCCAAAAATGACAACGCGCCCGCTGCTACCGCTGCTGCTGCTGCCTTTGAGCGGTACAAAAATGCAAAAACATCACCAAAAAACTTGCCACGCAGAAGAAAATCAACATTCAACAAAATTAGTCATTACTTTTAGACTATTTTTGAGAGGAAAAAATAATAAGAATAGTTTATAAAAATTATGAAGATATAAAATCATTTCAAATTGATGTCTAAAAGTATGCAATGAAAATTTAATTCAATTTTAAATCACTTTTAATTTAATTATATTTATTTTTAATATTCGATATACATTTTTTAACCATTCATAAATCATTATAAATTTATTTAAATTTTTTAAGGTGTTTCTAAGCTTTTTCTTACCCACCTTCAGGCACCCCAAAAAAATATTAAAAATCTCCCAACAAGTCAAAGACCCTTTGCAACTAAGAAACCATTTAGAAAACCCCACAAATTGAAATATAAATATTTATGAAAAAACCCCCTAAACCTCTAAATATTCAAAAGACAATAGAAAACTGATTTAATTAACTATATATTCTTTTGTCTCTGTGCATGGAAAACTGCAAAGAAAACAGCAACAAGCCACCCGCAGCAGCAGCAACAGCAGCCGAGCAACAAACTATGGCTCTTCCCGAGGAAATTGCGTGCATAGTGGAAAAACTTTTTCGCCGGGTCGAAGGAGCGCCTTCGACGTCATCAGCTGCTTGGAGGAGCAGGAACCATCTCGAGTTTTCTTTTCGCCCGCTTTGAGTGCCAGGACAAAAGCAAAGACAAACAGCAGGGTTGCTGAGCTGCTTTGTCATGGCCGCTGATTTGGTCTAAGAAATACATAACTGCATTCCACATTTTCCACTCAGCAGCAGCAGCGGCAGGAACAGGAAAAGCTGCTGGAGAATGTGAGGATGTGGCCGCCATTTTGGCCAGGAGTGCTCGCTCGTGCATGCCACAGTTAGCGCCTGCCACGTGGACTGTGGTGTGAACACCTGGCAAACCCCAATGCCCAAAGCTATTACCTTTCATTGCAACTGCAATTTAGATTTGCTTCGACACCAAGTTCTAATGGTGCAGAAAACAAAAAGGATTTCTTTTTACTGCAGTTTTTTCGTTTAGATCGCAATTCCCAGTTAAATACTAAGTTGGCTTTTGTTATGGCATTTTCCTGGATTCGTGTAACGTTTCCTTTGATTATCCCACGTTTCAACATTTAATCTGATTAGTATATATTATATTTTTGTGGGAAAACATACAGGTGTAACACCTCAACAGATGGTTGAAGGATTTACTGGCTGAGACAGGAAAATAGTAGTAAATTCACATGGTTAATATACATATGTAGTTTCAAGTGGCTACTTAAGGGGGTCAACGCTCAATTGTTTATAGTTTAAGAATATACAATAAACATTCTCTTATTTGAGTTTAAATTGTACTTTAAATTCTTTTATTTGAATGTTAAATCATACTCTTCATTTTCAATTTCAGTTTCCTATTTCTTGTAAAGAAAACCAAACCCTGTTAAGGGTTTAAGGGTATTGCATTTCCCTTTCAAGGCTCAAGGTACGCTGTTACACCATTTCGACTTCCCTTTCAAGGATAATGTTGCGCTGTCTGTGTTTCTTTGCTGCAAATAGTATTTTCCTGGAACTCTTATACCTCAGAAACATTAAGTTAGATTAAAGGCTGCTGTGTTTAGAATTTTGCAATAATAACGATTTCTGGGAAATGGTGGGAAAAGCTAAAGCAAAACTAGTCAAGTTAAGACTACTCAAGGTACACTGATTAGTTGTAAAATGCTAAGGGCTCTTTTAATGTATTTTATGTAACTCAAAAATACCCAAACATTTCTAATAATTTTATAGAATTCCCTAGACATCCCCCATCTCTCTTGACCCACTGTATCCCACCGGGCCAACACACACAAATTAGTTTTAACCAGGCCCTGTCACGCCGCGGTGAGCCCCATTGTGCTGCCACCAACGTGGCTGCCGATTAAGTGCGTCGCCTTGGAACTCAAGCAGGAAAGTACTTGCGAAACTATAGCCAGAACCTGGACCCGGTACCAAAAACTACAGCCAGAATCAAGAGTCGCAGCTGCTTGTTGACACATTTCAGTGATTTCCAGCAGGGAATCCGGCATTCAACAGAAGCGGGGATAGATGTGGATTCCAAGGAGTTAATGGGTCTGCCCAAGGAGCTCTAATCAACATCTAATTATTTCGCTCTCCACTCTAATGAAGGTGAGCCAAGGCATGCATGATTGATGATTGATAATTACGAAGGGGTGGGATGGGGTGGATGCGAAGTACGACCCATCAAAATCAACATCAACAGCAACGCAAATCAAAAGCAGCTCGCAAAATCTATGCCAAAAAACACACATGCACACAAGTCTTTACTGGGGAAAACCAATACCATTGCCAAAGCCAAGCCCTGCATTGGTGTCTGTGTGAGATGCAACATGTGATACACTGTGTCCTAGTTCCGCGTCCGTTACTGCGTTGTTATGCAACACAATGGCACACATAAACGCAGCAGGAGGTGCTTGCAAGGGAGGTCGTTACGTGGGGGGGCCAGAACGTCATTGAGTGTGAGTGGAGAATGAAAAAGCTTCACTCACCAAGCTGGCTCAAGTTTTTCCCAAAAAAAAAAGAATATATAAATAAACTCAAGTTCAAAGCTTGCGAATTTCCCAAAACTTAAAGCTATGTCCTGAAAATATAACACAAGCTGGCATAGGCTTAGGGAAAGCTTTTGGAAAAGCCTTTTCACAGCTCTCCAAAAATAACAGTAAAGCTTTTTTTAACAGCAAAACACAGGGCAGTCCTTAGCAAAGGGGTTTTCACACAAAAATCAACTAACATTTAAACACATTCATATGGTATTTAAGGGAAAAACTATGCAAAATCATATCTTTAAGATTTGAAATCTCTTTCATAAGCACTTAAAACTAGGCTATACAAATTTCAGAATTAGTTTCCGTGATAAAGAAATATATTATAGCATACTTTTTAGCATAATATCCTTCCTTAAAGCACTTACATTATATATATTTCTTGAACTTCAATTCTCCCAAGTTTCATTTACTAAAATTTTTTATTTTCTATTTCTTTTTCTTATATTTTGTTTTGTTTTGTTTATTGCGCTTGTACTTACATTTCGTTAGGTCTTCTAAAATTGAAATATAACGAAACAAAACACAATACACACGGCATTAGATATGTGATTGGCATCTTTAACGATTGGGAAGCTGAATATTGGATAATACTGTATATAATAAATCGATGTGTACGAGTTTAGTGCCTACAGATAATGCATATATTTACAATGTCTGTACTGCAGCGATTCAAGGATAATAACAAGGCGCAATTTATGTATCATATATAGTATGTTTATATCTTATGTTAATGCCTGATAACTTGTTCCATTAGAGTTACGTTCGCTTAAAATCTAAACTGAGAAGGGTAACTGAGGGGACTGCAAGGCAGGCGGGTAATACATATACTATAACTTTAGTTGGGACAAAGCATTTTGGTTGTGGGAAATACACTTATACACTTAATGGATACTATTATATATTCTTTACGGGACTCACCCATATCGTCTATGATCGGTGCCATACGCAAGGTAACCCCGATCAGCATGAGGCACATGAGCAGCAACAAACAGGCGGTGGCTATTATTGTCCAGCGGGCACGCTGTGACAGATCATGGGGATCGATCACCTGAAGGGGGAAGATATTGAAGGGGAAATTATATTACTAAAAACGGTTGGGAAGTGGTTGTTACCTTAACAACCTCTGTGTCCAAGTCCTGTACCAGAATTTTTGGTTTTTTGTGCCGATGTCGCTTTTTGTGACGATGACTGTGGATGAAGGATATTTAAAATAATATATTTGTATTAAATTAGAAGAGTTTAAAGATGTTTTATTATATTATTAGATAACCAAAACAACAACGAAATCTCTCTGCTTTTGATTAATAGTTTAAGGGAACTTCATAAAATGATCCTTTAACTGTAAGAAATTATATTAAAAATAGCTAGGACTCTTGGAATTCTGTCTATAAATATAAAGGATTTACAAAAATGTTGTTAAATCCTCTATAATATAAATTGTTAACATATCAATTCTCTGTTTTTCTCTGTTCTTAAAGCTTTATCTTGAAAATACCTTGAAGGTAACATTTACGAAGAGCTTATAAAAGGAAATTGAGTTTCAGTGAGTTGACATTGCCATTGCCTAATGCCATTTAATGATTATTTCTAGTAGAAATGTTTGCACATTAATCTGTTTAGCTTTCCCCTAACCCCCCCTTGCAGCCACATATGCGAGCTCCTCTACCTACATACATCTACCCTGCAACAGAAGCTTAAACATATTTGCTCTATTTCCGTTTGGGTTTTGCAAAACTTCCGCATTACAAAGCTGCCGCAATTTCCCCTACACCACAGCCCCCCAACCCGACCACCTGCTCCTGCTCCTCCATCTCCTGCTCCTCCTGATACTCGCAACAACGTTGCTCGATTTTTGCAACGGAAGTTGCTCCTGGCAATGGCAGAACGAAACACAAAAAAAAAAGAGAGTGTAGCGGCAGAAACAACATCAGACATCGGGTTGCTGCTGACAGTCAATGCCATTGTGAGCCACCACCACCCACTAAAGCCCACCCACATCCACCTCCGCCGCCCAAAAATAGTCGCACAAAGCTTGTCAATCAATTTTTGTCTGCTCAACGTCACGCCAAGCTCCCAGGCTCCCGGGAGAAAACGCGTTGGGCAGGAGGAGCGGAGGCAACGCATTAGGGCATATTTGGCAATCACAATTGCCATCGCATCGCATAGCATCGCACCGCCAATCCGCAGGACATTTATTAGTGCAACCCAAGGCCACCACCGTCCTTTGTTGGCTGCACCTGTCCAAAGTGTCCCAGCTGTCCTAGCTGTTCATCCATCAGCCGGGTCAACGCGAAATGCGCTATTATTTATGTCCCCTTCGATCATTACTCAACGCAAGCCGATTTTCGGGCCAGACCGGATCAAGGACACTGGCTCAAAAGGATTTAACCAAGGAGGGGGGGGTGGAGAAGGTAGAGAAACTACCACTCACCGATGCTTTCGGCGATGCCGCTGATGACCACTGGGGACCATCTGCTCAAGGTCGTCGATTTTATCGGCATCTGTGTCCAGATCCAGGTCCATGTCCAGCTGCAGGTCGCAGGGCGAGTCCTCGCCGTACGGGCATTGTCTGGGGATAATAAATCACATTAGCGAGCAAATAGCTTAAACATTGAAAGAAAAACTACAGTTGTTGAGGTTTTCCAAGAGAAACTGATTGATTTTCTCAACTGGGAAAATATATAGAAAATAAAAACTAAATAGGAAAATAATTTAGTAATTTAAGGCAAAGGAAAACACTCTCCTTAATCCTTTAAGAACTACCTCCTCCTAGACTTACATGGGCTGCTGTGTGTCCGGATGGATGCCAAGCACATGCACATAGTGCTGTATACCATTGGGCGTGGGATAGACCAAGGCAGGATCCGAGCAGCGATGATGGCGTTCTTTGGAAAAAGAAAAACAACAGGAAATGAATGATTCAGGAACCTCGCATGGCATCTCTCTCGATGACTGCCACTTACTGTACTTCCGTTTCCGTCGCCGGTACTCGTCATCACTGCCCGTGCTCTGGGCCGTTGTCGTGGCCGCGGAGGAGGGCATTGTGGGCCTAAAGACTTCACTGGGTCTCTCCTTGGGCTTGGCTGCACTGCAGCAGCCGGTGGCTGCCATACTGGACCCCGTCGATGTGGAAGTCATCCGGTGCAGCTTGTCGGGCACTAAGGTTCGTGTTCCAGCTCGGTTTCTTGGGCCTCCTGCTCCTTTTCCTTCTGCTCCCTCCATGGCAATAACCACATCTGTGGATCCTACAGGCGGACGCCCTGCCAAGAGTCCTGCGCTGCGCGACTTGCGTCGCTCTTGACTAACTATGATGTCCCTCGCCAAAGCCGGCGGCGTGTTGGCATAGCTGGGCGTGGCATGCAGTGACTGGGAATCGCTCTGGGCCAGCACCGTGCTCACCGTCACATTGGCACTGTCCTCCGAGGTGTTCTGGCGTGAGAAGTAGCGGGAGTAGGCCTCCGCTCCACCGACTCCACCAGAGACACCAAACTCTCCAGCTCCACCACTTTCCGTGCAGGAGAGCTGCTTGGGCAGGAGGCGACGACGCTGTGGGAGTGGAGCGGGCAGCGTCTCAATGTCCAAGGCCACGTGGGGCTGCTGCAACTGTAACTGAGGCTGAGGCTGAGGCTTGGCCAGGCTGGAGGGAACATTGATGTGCAGGCGCTGAAGGAGAAAAGGTGTAATGGATTTGGGATTCAGATAGAATTTCAGTAATTACCAAAGATTTAACTTAAAACCAAGCAAGCCTTTATATTTTATATATATTAATTATTAATAATTATTTTAATTTTAATTTTTATTAAATTTTAGAAATAAAAACTCACCCCTTGTTGTGGCGCCTGCAGTGGAAACGAGCGCACCACATGCCTGGGAAAGATGGGGCTGCACTGGGCGCTGATCGATTTGGCCTCCAGTATCCTCAGCCGCTTGGCCAGACGCGCCCGCTCCCTGGCCTCCGCCTCCACTCCGGTTAACCCTCCACCTGGCCCTGCTCCTGGTGGTCCCATGCCCGCTGAAGGCATCACCTCCGCGCCGCCAAAGCTGACCGTGCAACGGGAACTGCTGTAGGAGAGGCTCTCGAGGCTGCCGCGCAGCGAGGCCGTGAGGCTGTCATCCGCCAGCGTGGAGCTGTGCAGGACACTGCCGCTGACACCAGCGGCGGCGGTAACTGTGGCAGTTGCTGTGGCAGTCGTCGAGGTATTGTCGTGTCCGGAGATCGGGGGCAGTAGTTCCGACTCGCCGTTGATCGTTGTGGAATGTTTGCCGGGTAGCTGGGTCCTCGAACGGACCTCGGCCTCTCCCTCCGAGCTGCTGCTGCGGCTTGACCGGCGAACCGCCTCCAAATCCACCTGGTGGGCCGGTGTATGGGTCTGAGCACGGACCAGTAGGCTGTGACTATGCCTGGGCTGACGCTGGGCACCCGAGGAGTTGCTCAGCGTGCTGGCCAGGCTATCTTCCAAGTTCTCTGGCCGCCGGGCATGGGTTCGCTGGAAGCTGGCCAACGAGCCGGAGGCCTCTTCGATGTCATCCTGCCGGCTCTTGGCTTTTGTCTTGGCTTTGCTAGTGGCGGCGGCTGCTGGTGGTGATGATGATGATGATTGCCCTGGCGGAGCTTCTTCCGCTGGCGGTGGGGTATCCTCCCGACTGGAACGGCGACTCCCACTGCCACCAAATAGCTTTCTTGGCAGAAAGATGCGACCAATGGACTTGCGCTTCCGCCTCTTGGCCTTCTTGTGCTCCTCGTAGTCTCGCTTGAGGGCCTGCATCTTGTGCTCCACCAGAGTGCTAAAGACGGCCTCATAGGTGAGGGCTCTCTGCAGATCCAGCAGGACATCGTTAGTGGATACAGCCTTGTCCAGCTTGGTCAGCAGCTGCAGAGACTCGGCACCACTGCCACGACCACTGCCACTCGCACTCCCACTGCCGTCACTGCCACTCTTGCTATCGTCCGCATCCGCCATGTTGGCCCCGATAAACAGTGGCTACAGTTGGCTCGGGAGCAGGCTCGGGTCCTGGTGGCTGGAGGCGGTTGTTGCTGCTGCTCTGGCTGCTGTCTTTAGCGCCTATTTGCATTCTCCTCGACGCGTTGAGACGTTGATCGGTCTTGTCTTGTCCTCGGGTTTGTGTTAGGTGCTGCTCCTGCTCCTGCTACTGCTTGTGCCTGCCCGTCATCTGGGTGGCAAGGCGTGGGGACGCGTCACTGTCATCGCTGCCACCTAGCTAGTTACCTCCTCCGTTTTGCTCGTCAATTGCCTTTTCAATGGATTCCCTTTTGTGTGTCACGATGGCATCAAGTGGCGCTTAAAGGCGACGGCAGCACCTTCTCTGCACCAGTACCTCCTCTTGCTCCTGCTCTTGCTCCTGGTCCTGCACCTGCAACAACAAGGACAAAACATTAGACTGGCACTCCAATTCGATTCAATAGACAATCATCGCCCAATCTCCCAATCCACACAACCCACATACCCCTCAAGGACACACAAAAGGCAGAGTTCCCAGAGCTCCCAGTGGGGGCGAGGAGAACGGAGGAGGTGAGCTTGCCAATAGTTTTGCTCACTTTTCTGGCTTGGATTCGGATTCACATTCGCGTCTGCCTCCATTATGCATGAGTGTAGCAGATTTCAACTTGTTGCACGCACACATCCACCCGCACAGGACCCCTCTCTCACACAGACACAGACTCACACACAGAGACACGGCATCCAAGCGCCAGTCAATGTCGAGTGGTCAGTGATGACCCACTTTTGGTTGGCCTTTTTCTGGCCAACTCAGTGGGTGGCAAGGGGGTGGCGCGGGGCTTGACAAATGGAAAATAGAGTCTGGTCTATGAAAGATTCATTTTAATTCCAAGTTTATTTGTATTTATGCGGCTTGGCGAGCCAGAAAATGTGAAAGCCAAATGAAATAATAGTGAAAATAATAAAATTGAGGTTATTTAAACGATAGGTATATCAAAAAAATCGATAAAAACAAAAGGAAATCTCATTAAAATCGTTATCTATTTTTATGATTTATTGCAAATTAAAATTTCATTTCATTTAAAAGTTTGTAAATAAGATTATTAATTTATATAATAATTATAATTTATATCTGACGATATATTTAAACGAAAATATAGGTGAAACATATAATTTGTGGATTAAAACATAAAAAACCGATAAAGAAATAATATCGATAGGATATTTAATATTAAAAAAAGGAGAAAATAAACGAATATATCCTTAAAAATATATAAAGTATACAAATATAAAATATATAATGATTTTATCACATCAAATTTAATAACCCCGACCTAAAATAGATTATGTAAAACATGTAAATACTATTAAATTGCATTAACTAATGCATATTTGACTGAAATATAAGGTTAAGTTCATTATCAAAACTTTATAAACATATCAAGGAGCATAACCCATCTAAAATAAAGGTTTTTAAAGCTCTATCCTTTCCAAAAGGATAACAAAACAAAGCTAACCAGCCAGCACTGGGCGAGGAACAGCGAGTGAATTGGTAACATGGAGCTATGACAGGTAACTGGAAGTGCGAGTAACAGTTAAAGCCGAGCTCTCCGCCGACGTGAGAGCAGATATGTGTGCGATGTAGTGTGGGATATGAAAGCATGTTCATATACATATACGCGAGACTGTAGGCCCGTGGGAAAATGCCAGCGACAGGACTCCCTTATGGCCTCCGCCTCCGTTGCGCTTTCTGCGGCCCTTCATTCCATATGTATGTATACACGCCCAGTATATGAATATATATTCAAAAAAAAAAAAACCTACAATGAAAATGGATATTGTTTTCATTTCCGCAATGCATATAGTCTCGCTGCTTGTCGCTGCTGAAATCGCAATCGTCGTGACTATGGCACTGGCATGTTCTCGTGTATGCCACCGCCAGCTGGGATGCAAATGGCGGACAAAGGGTCGCCACAATGGGTGCCACCGCCATCTAGAAAAATGATTAAATGCAAAACAGAAGAAAATAATACACACACACAACAATGCAGGACATGAAATGGGCGGAGCCCATGCCCTGAATGTGAATTCAAAGTCCTTGCACTGTGCTGTGGGTCCCTTGGAAAAAAACGTGTGGCAATCGCTAATTAAACGATACGGTTGGGTAATAGAAAAAGTTGAAGCCGCCAGTTTGCATAAATTTTCTGTTAACTGGATAAAATACTTGGCCCAGACGCACACATGCGCACACTGAGAGAATCTTGGGATAAAATTATGAAAATTTAAAAAAACCTAGAAGTAAATGACATCTTCTGTGGCCAGAGACTTCGAAAATGGTTACAAGATTTTCACTAATAAATAATAATAAGTCACAGTTTTAATTTCCCCACAGTAACCCCCGCCCTACCTGTCAAACCTGGTCGAAAGTGCTTTGAAGATTTAAAAAAAAACTTGAAGATGCCTCGCCTCCGGGACAATACCCGCAAGCTAGCAGTGCGCCAGGAAGCTGATCGCGAGGAGAAAGTAAACTTGGCCAAAATTAAAATGGATGCCGTTCTGCTGAAAGTCGACGAGATAGGCAGACGCCACATGGAGATTGTAGACAGCCGCATAAAGCTCATCCGAGATACCACCGACGAGGAACTGCTGAACATGAAATGGTCAGAATTTCTGGCCCTCGGGATTGATAAGTTTGCTGACTACCAAGGATCAGGTAAGATGCACATAGAGTACCCTTGAGAAGACATTCACTATGTACAATCCAGTTTCCACCAGTACTGCCACTACCCCTCGCAGCCGCTCTGTAAGCCGGAAGCCGGCGGAGAGGACTCGCCTTAAGCAGCGAACTTGGACTCGAGTGCAGTCGGTGGACAGGAAGAAATTAGATGAAATTCCAAGTCTAAGCTTCCAGCGCTGGCCCCGTGCCGGCGAAGCGGTGCTCTCCAGAGCGGCCAGCCCGCTAGCCGTGCCCTTGGAGGAGCGCTGTGCCAATGTGCAGATTCCCACCAGCAAGGGGACCATCACCGTGAAGCCGCACAAGATGATGAATCAGGTGAAGCGCGAGGTGCTAAAGAGCTTGGACCAGAACACTTTAGCCCAGGTGAAAATGCTGAATGCTAATCTGGGTGAAATTGTGAATATGGCCACCAAGATGGGCAAGCTGTAGATCGAATAAAATAATGTTCTAGGCATGCATGTACCTTATTTATTTACAGATTTATTTATTATTTACTTTATTTATAAAAAATTCAAACCTTTTTGCCCTCACAATTCCTAAAAACTTGCTCAAGCAGTTATCTAAACATTTATGCAAAACTTGAATTAAATTGTTTTACCTAAAAACCTCTAGTTTAGCCACTCCCTTCTCTGCAATACTTTGCTTAAAATTGGCTTTAAGCCATTTACTGACCAACGAACAATTTCAATGAATCCAATCCTCAAAAAAAAAGCCCCAGGACAATGACAACAATAACAATTTTTTGTGAGTGCACACACAGAGCCTAAGCGTCTTATCTTTGGTCCAAAAGCACAATATCCAACCAGCCAAGCGTGCAAACAATCTAGGCAAATGAAAACAGTGGAGAAAAAGGGGGTCTACTCTCACATACATAGCACACACATACACAGCACACACATACACACACATACATAAATCCAAACAAAGACCACATGCCTTATAACCAGGGCCAAGTCTCAGGCGAAGGAGGGAACGGTCCAAAAATAAATCATTCGAGGACATAAAACGAAGCCAGGCAAAAATTATAACTGTTGCTGCCACTGCCGCAAAAGTAAATAACGTGGCTAACAGCGGCAACATCTGTTGTTGGCCGACGCTGGCGTCGCAGAGGAAAATTCTGGCTTCGACGTCGACGTCGCGTATGCTCAACAGTTGTGCAGAAGCAGAGGAAAATTCCCCGAAAAAAAAATCTAAAGTGAGAGAAAACCCTGTTCGCTCTCTCTCTCTCTGCGCAGCTGCTGAAAATGTTAGCTGAAAAAGTGTTTAAGCCACTCTGCTGTTAGCTTGTTGCTATTCCCTGCTCATGCCGACGAGGATCTTTCGGCCATAGAGTGTGTTTGTTTGCTTTGCCAAACTTTTTAGCCAAGCAGTTGACAGTTTTTTTCTCCATTACATTTATGCCATTGTATTTAGTAGTTGTACTGGCATAGTTTTGGTGTAGTTTTTCGCTTGCCAGCTTGCAAAACTTTCAGGGCTGCCACCGAGTTCCTTTGCCGGTGTCAATGACAAGCCGAACAAATGCTTAATTGGTGACATACATCGCCTGGCTCTAAGTGGGTCTCAGTTTGCGTTGAATGGGTTTATTTAATGGCGGCACTCGAAAAATGTCTGACAGAGGAAGTTGGCTTTGCTTTTGTTTTCTCAAATAGTTTTAGGAGTTTTCCAACCAAGTTTATTAATTGAATGGAGGAATTTCTGGGTATATTAAGTATTCAAATTGGTTAGATTGTTTGGTGGTGCATTCAAAGTTTTAGGTTGTTAGTTTTGCTTGGTTTTAGTTGTTAGAGTTAAATTATTTATGCAATTTTAAGAAAATAATATATATTCCTCTTATGAAAACCTTATAAAAATGTTCAAAATAAGGCTACACAATTTGAAAACGTTAAAACAAATTAAACTAAAAACATTTCATACTTTTGGGCACATTTTTTTAAGGTTCTAAAAACCCTAGTAAATTTTTAAGTATTTATGTTTATTTAGAGGATTTTTTATAGAACAACAATTCATTATTATTTAAAACGAAATATATATATTTATTTTAGAAAAAAACTAAGCAAACATTTCCCTTTTCTTCTATTTTAAACCGATTTTTTATTGAACAACAATTTTTTATGATTTTAATATATATTTTAGAAAAAACTAGGCAAACATTTCAATTGAAAACCTATAATAAACATTTATTATAGGAAATACTCTGCTAATATTTCCCCTTTAAACTGAATTTCATTGCAATTTAGTGGCTAGCCATTTCCCGTATTAGTTTTTTTAATGCTGACATTTACTGCCAATAAATCAAATCAAATTCCGCCACAGAGAATGACAAAAATAAATCTAGATTTCGTACGTGGACGTGGGGTATACGTGATAATCCCGAGCATACATATCGCGCATACGCCACGTTGGCCAGCGCCCAGTCCAAAACCAAAAGCGGATGTTCCCAAAACCAGCAGCTGCTGCTGCCGCATAAATATATAATTATTAATAATTTCACAGTACAATTACCCAAGCTCAAATCAAGAATGGAATAGCAAATGCAAATGGCCAGAGTTGCAGCCAAGAAGAAAAGGAGGAGGAGGCTTCCTGAAGCTGGCGAATACTTAAATTTAATCAACTTTCGTTGGAATATACCTTGCGGATTCCTGGTTACTCGATGGCTGAATACTGGATTTCGCGCTGATGCCTGACTACCCACGGACTCTCGGCGGGGGCGTGTTCAATTATTGACGCCCCCTTTCTGTGCTGTTGTCCTTCGCACATTTTTCGGTTTAAGAACCGATGCAGCCCAAACATAACAAAACACAAACACACACAGGCAAAGGCACACACAAAAAAAAAAGAAATGGGAGAAAAAAAACAAGCTGCTTGGCAAATAAAACATGCACATGGCTTAAAACACATGACACCGAAACGAGAGAAGTCCAACAAACCGAGAAAAAAAGGAAAATAAACCGGAGAACAGCGTTGGCCCCTCTGCCCATTCTCCATTTTCCACTTTGCTTTTTTTTTCTCCACTGGCACGACCTTTGAAATTAGAGTTCTGAGATGTGTACGTAAAGTTGGTGTGCCTGTGTGTGTGACTACAAGAACAACACACATTCAAATGAGTCCTTGGCCGCAACGAGCTGCAGTGACGACCCTCTCCTCTGTAGCCGCTGCATCGCGTTGGATGGCAGCCCATGGCCCAGCAGCAGCAGCGGCAGCCATCAGCGTGTCAGATAATTAGTGAAAACTGTCTGTGAAGAAACGTTCGTCTGTCGCCAGGTCCAAGGGTCCGACATCAGCAGCATCCAACGTGTATATTCACAGCAACACATACACATTCACATGTCCACGAGCATGTCCACGGCCGTGGCAATGGCAACATCAGAAACATCTGAACAGCAATGGCTGTGCAAACTGTAGCCAGGCTGGCACCATGGGTGTTGCACAAACTTGGCAGTTCACACGAATATTTGGTTACAAAAACTAAACTATTCATTTTAAATATACTTTAAATATGTCTGAGAATGTGGAATCTATACAAGGAGTTGCCTACAGGAGAAATATCGTTTCAAATTCTCTGCCAGCAAGACATTCATACAATTTAGTCAAAGGTTTAAAGAATTAGAATTATATTTAGAGATATATTTAGATATACAATTTTGCTACTTTCCAACTAAAATGGTCAGATATTCCAGTTTTTAAAGACTTCCTTTTCTTTCTTTCACAAACACAAAGTAATAACAAGCATTTTCAGTTTGTTAACTTAAACCAAAAGTAATTGCAATAGAGACAGAGCTTTGTGCCATCTTTACCTTATACTTTTCCCCCCCTCCCCCCACACACACACAAATGAAGTAATTTAAATTCAGAAAATAAAATAATTGAGAGGAATGCTGTGTAATTATTTCATGGCCCGATCCAGCGCTCCTATGCCATGGTATAACTTTCTCTTTTGTGAAGCGTCTGAAATGCAGGTTGACAGTTTTATGACACAGATACACACTCATACACACATAGAGCTCGTGTGCATGCATATGCAATGTCCTGGTGGTGGTTACTGGGTTACAAGGAAATGTGTGACAACTGCAGACACGGTTTGCCCCATCTCCAGTCCACCTCTATCAGATGCTGATGCAGCAGCAACAGCAGCAGCTCAAGTTCACAAATTCCAGGGATCTAGGGTTTCCCTCTAGCCTATGGATTGTCCTATAACCTGACCTTGAACCTCGGCTCACAGGGCGCATGAGTAATTGTTTTTGCACCGGGGACGTCCGCCGCCTGTTTATTTATCGAAGGCGTGGCGGCCATCGGACGCGTCTCCCTGTATTTATAGACCTTTCAAAAATACATCAGGCCACATCAACTGGACTGTGATTCCCCCTCTTGGGGATGGCTCATACCCTCCTCTATGGCCCACGCTCTCGCACAAATCAAACTATCAAATGGAGATTTTTCTTTTCGGCACCGATGGTTGATATAAACACATACGAATCGAACTAAATATTTACACGTCGTTGGCTGTTTTCATTTGGTGTTTGTTTGCCGTCCCGATCCTCCCTCTTTTCCTCCCCATCATCATCATTTTCATTTTCATCCTCATCCATTTCTTTTCTTTGTATTCCGTCCGGTTTCAGTTCAATTGGTTTCGGTATTGTGCGTTTGGCATTTTTATGAATGGCCAACGGCCATCCAAAAGTCCGGTCTCTCAAGCAAATTCCATTGTCTACAAACGAACACGAAGCAATTAAATATATACCTTTAACTTTTCCGGTTAATTTTTCTGTTTAATTTACCCGCTGTCGTCGTGCAAGATGTACGCAGTAAATACAGCCAGATTAAAAGGAGAAAAAAAACATGGCAAATATTGCGTATACGCACGGAGGCCCACATAATTGGGAGGCCAAAACCAGAAGCAGAACCACCCTTCCGCCCGGGTGAATGGAAAAGGTCAGCAGCGGTGGTAAGGCGGAGGAGCGGAAGGTAGAAAATAATGAAACTCGCATTCCATTAATTTCCACTGAAAGTCATGCGTGCCTTCGATTTCCTATGCCCTCAACGGCTGTTTGGGTCCAGTGACTTGCCGAGAGGCTTTGGCTAACGAGTTCAGTGGATTAAATTTTCCTTAAGGCCTATATTATTGGGTATTTTGTTGGGTTCTTTTGTAAGAAAATTTGGTAAATTAAGTTTACTGATTATGTTTACTAATTGGATTTCAAGTGGCTTGTGGGTACTATGGCGTAGGGTGAAAATTTGGGAATAATTTGGGGTTCGATGGGAGTAGAGGTTAAATATTTAACTAGTGACTTTATTCTTTGTTAAACTTTACTAAAAAGACTACTATTCTATATAATTTACTTTATTATATTCCGAATTTTATTAGTCACATTAAATTTCCCTTTTAAATTTCAACTTATTAACGTTCACATATAAATAATCCAGAGATAAACTTCCACATAAAACCACTTTAGTCCGTAATCACTTTCCA